CACTTTTTGAGGGAAACTTTGTGCTTTTAATGATCTTTAATGAGCTTAGAAATAAAATGTTTGGCTAATTCACCATTCACCACCAAGAAAACTGTTCAAGCTGTCTGTTGCTGAGAACACAGTGCCAACCGGAGACTCCCTGCCTTGAGCAGTCACTCTTCACTAGGAAGCACAGCGGCCCGGGAAGCTCTGGGACAGGCTCGGTCAAGCTCGTGCTCTGCAGCTGTTGATTTTCATTTTGTTTTGCTGTTAGGCTAGAGGTCTTCAGCTGTTGCCCACCTCTTCTCATCACTGTTACCGAGTGTTCCCCAGTTTATTCACTAGAGATTCCAGGCAACCATGTCCAGGTGTTGTCTGACATAGTGGATCGAACATTTCTTTTATTCCAAATCAAGTAAGGATGCAATCATTTATTCACATTGCATTCATAGGCATATGTGTATACACATATACACATTTTATATGCTTCTGACTACGTTTTCTTAAATAGGGAGACAAGTTTGTTTTAAACTTTAATTGAAAGATGTTTTTAGCTTTATTTGTTAGCAAGTCGGCCCATAAATGAGTCTTTTTTTGAATTTTCAATTTTATTTGCCAACATTTACAAGTTGAAAGATGTGTACACTGTACATCTCTTTGCCGGTCCTGCTGGGGCTGGGAGCAGTTATTTCTTCAGAAATGATCCGGGGCTCGCCCGCTCCCTTTACTCAGGGTCTAGGGTGGTCCCTGAAGGCTGTCAGACTCTTGAGGATGTCCTTCTTATTGAAGAAAGTGCAGTCCTGGTAGTTGTCCAGCTGCTCTTCAGTGAAGGTCTGCCTGTTCTCCCACGATGGCCGCGGCACTATGGGTGGCTGCAGTGTCTTCTCTCACCCTTCTGAGAGCAGCTTCCCAATGGCGGGTTCTGGAGCCCGGAGTCCAGTGCCCGCGGCCCTTGCGAACCTGGCAGCGGACAGCAACGCCAGCCTAGCACGGCCCACTGGGGATAACTGAGTCTTGATTGAAGGATTTTCCCTGGATCAGATTGGCCTGTGGGCATGTTCTGGGGACAATTGGTCTGTGTTGAAGTCTGAGGCCAGTATTGCCACCAAAGGTGACACAGAAGCCTGGAGTCAGGGCCAAAACCTGTGGCCTTGTTGGTGTTCCGGGGCCATACTGGCACCAGATATGGATGTCATTTGGGCCCAAGCCACTGCTGAGGGCAATGTCTGTGTGTGGTCCTGCTGCTGAGAGAATCTACTCCTACCCCCAGCACTCAGGAGAGAAGGCCCTACCCTTCACCACAGGCAAGGGAGAACTGACCCTGATAGTTGGGCATAGGGGAGCTGGCTCTGCCCCTCGCCTGAGAGGGGTGGTCCCAATGGACTAAACTGACCAGCTCAACTTCTACCCAGGTTCACCCTAACATCTACCCCAGCGAGCACCTGTGGGAGCTTGGGAAGGGCATAGTCCTGTGGAATGACACCCACAGAAGCTCTGTGACTCAGGAGAGTTATAGGAAAACTGAGAGGAGGTTTGATGAGGATCCAGTGATGACGGTGTACCAGAAACAGAGGCTTTGTTCATTGCAATGAACATTTTCAAGTAAAGCTGACTGGACAAAAGGGACTACTGTGTGACACACCATGACTCCCAGTGCCACCAAGATGAATGAAGAGGTACTGGAGAATCGAGGAAGAGGTCTTTGTTTAAGTTTTTGCTTTTTTTTCCTTTGTTTTGTTTTTGTTTGCTTGATTTGGTTTGATTTTTTTTAATTTTCTTGTGAGGGGTGATAAAGAGGTGAGTGGAATTGGGATGAATGATGTGAAATTCCAAAAGATTAAATAAATAAATTGTTAAATTAAAAAGGCCATGCTTTACAAAATTTTTGCCTTATTTTGTTTTGATTAGTTTTTTGCTTTATTTTGATTTTTTTAAAAATAGGATCTTTCTTTCCAGCTCAGGCTGGCGGTCAAACTGGAGACTTGTTCAGCTTCTCAAGTCTTGGGATTATACATGTGAGCCACAACCATCTCGTAACCATTACTAACATTTCACTAACATCTTGTGTTAGTCGGTTTTTGGGTGGTTGTTTGCTACTGCTGTTGTTTGAAATAAGATTTTCCTATGTTACTTGGTTTAGCCTTGGACTTACTCAGGCTGGTCTTCAAATTGCAATTCCTCTGCTTCAGTTATGTGAGTATAGATGAGCACTGCCAAATCCAGCTCTCTTCTATATAACAGTGGTTGTATCCATTCAATGCTCGCCTGAGAATCAGAACCATTTATATAACATAAATGTTACAGATACTTAGAAAAATTTCTGCCTCCATGTTGCTTAAATCCTGCTGGGAAAAGCACTGACCAAATAAATTAATAAACAATGTTTGTAGGTGGAGTTTTTCCTTGGGACTGGCAACATTGATTATTCACAGTAAATTCATCTTGCTTCTCTCAGAGTCTCCTGGGATTCCTCCCTTCTTCTTCCTCACATTCTCTTAGTCTGGCTCTCCAGCTCAATCTTTTCTTGCCCAGGTATAGGCCAGTCAGTTCTTTATTAACCAACGAGAGTAACATATATTTACAGAGTGCAAAGATTGTTCCCCAGCACAATGTAACATGGTAAATTCTATTTGGACGTAGAGGGAAGTACACCAAGACAAAGAGGCCCGCAGAGACTTCACGATTACCCTGATTTTTGCATGTTTAACCTTATGGTGTGACATTGCTTGCACTCAAATTTCATCAGGTGGATAAGTCACTCAAACATTTGCTCCTTATTTAAAAAATTACATTAGCTTTTATTGCCTCATTTATGGACCTTCCCAGCAAGATTGGGGTTTTGCTGCCATTGAAGATGTTTTAAGGAGGGGTGATTGGCGGTTCTGGGATTCAAACCCAAGGCCTAAGGAAGTCCTCTACCATGTAGCAATAATTCTAGGGTTTCTACCAAGAATGGATGAAATCACCTTCCATCTTTCTGTCCCCAGAGTTACACCCTGTACAATATACGGTATTCAGTAAATGCTTTCTGAATAAGTAAACATAAACTCCGGTAGTAAATGAGAACTTAACTACAACATTGTTAGGCCTTGGGTCCACCTGACTGCCATTGAAAGCAGCCAGCAGACTAGGACGGGCTCATGAGGATAGTGGAAAAACACCAGAGCTGAAACTAGAGAATAAGAGTAGGTGGGTGCTTACATTGTAGCAGGAGGAGGTGGATGCTTACATTGCAACAGGAAGAAGAAGAACCCACAGGGACAGCACAGCATGGGCCTGGCTGGGAAGAAGCCAATTTAACTTCAAACTGCTCCCTACCATCCTTTTTCATTTTCACAACCTAGGGGCTCTGCCCTGGCTGGCTGCCTCCACCTCCCTTCAGTGGCATCTTTCCCAATTAAATTTTAACTGTGCCACAGAGCCATAGCATCTTGTTCTCCAACAAAGTCATTTGTTTTGATTAACTCAGACTAGATTGTGCATGGTGCTGAGCATTCTCTGCACACATTCTAATTTTTTATCTACAACAAAAAAACATATTTTGAGTATGTAGAGTGTTGGCTTATATATAAAGGCATTTGACAATATTTCTAAAATAGTTAGGGACAAAATGTACGTGTTTCCATTCAGCCATTGATTAATATAGCATCTAAAGATCACAGTAGAACTCTATTTTAAGTTTTAAGTGTTGATACTTTCTCAGAAAATTAAGGTTCTTCATATGTACAGTGTCACTCCCGAAAATTAGGTCTTTTGATATTTTCTTGATAAATAGAAATATAAGGTCCTTTGTAAAGAGCTGGACTATCTGAAGTTATTAAACAAGTCAGTGAGTTAATTATCATAAAGTGGATATATAGAACCAGCCTTCCCTGACAAACGCCTAACAAATTCATGTGAACATTTTTTTTCCTTCCATATTCTAGCAAATGAGTTTCCCCATACCAAATATCCAACCTTGGCCTACAAGTCAGGCCTAATATTATTATAACAAATTTTCAATCATGCAGGAAATATCTGAGTATTTGACTTTTAGCCACAGGCATCAATTCAACAAAAATAAATGATGATTAATCTGAGTTTTGTGGTACATGGTAGGGAAATATGGTTTTTGTCAATGGAAACAGAACCTGTAGCCTAATTGTGGACCATAAGTTCTCAAGGCCTCTGGTGCTATTTTCACTATTACTAACATGTCTGATTCCTGATCTCAATATAATTTTTGTCTAATTAACAATTTGGACTATATCAAATTAATAAAATTCTGCATAGCAAAACAAACCAGTAGAGTGAAAACTGGACTAGAGAGTGGAAAAATATATGCAAAACACACATCTGACAAAGAGTTAATTCCATGAACAAGTATAGAATGGACCTCTACAACTCGGTAGCAAAAAGTGAAAAAGTCATAATCCAGTGCCTAGAAGACACACAAAAAGCCAACACATACATTGAAAGTTCTCAGTGCTACCATGATGAGGGAAATGCAAAACAAAACAATCAAATCAAACACGATAATAATTCATACCTGTTTTATGGCCAGCACTGAAAAAAAAAGGATGGGATAGGGAGCTGATAAAATGACTAAATTGGTAAAGTGCTTGCCACACAGAATAAGGGCCGGAGTTCAGTCCTCAGCACCCACGAATAGCAAATAGTGGGACCTTACAATCCAAGCTCTAGACATGTAGAGATATAGAAACAAGGGTATGGGTGATAGCTGTTGAACAGTCAATCCAGCAAAGCTGACAAGCCCAAGTTTCAGTGAGGGACCCTGTCAAAGAATAAAGTGTAGGATGATTTAGGACGATAGTCAACATCAACTTCTGGCTTCCTTGTACACACATTTGCATGTACACATATATGCATGCACATACATGCAAAGAGACAACAAATGTCATAAAGAACATGGAGAAATTAGATCTTGCACACGGGTGTCAGGAATGTAATGCAAAATTATGCAGTCACTATGGAAAACAGCATGGAATTCCATACACAAGAGCTACCACATGATTTTTTTTCAGGAGAGAGCTTGAACACAGTCCCCCACTACCACAAATTGTGCAGTTGAGTTTCTCACATTTGTGGAAATCAGCAGCGGTCAGGTCAGCACATCCAGAATGCATTGGATAAGCCTCACCCTGGGAAAACCACCCTCGTGACCATGGTATCTCCCCTGATGGTTAAGTATGACCTTCTTTACAAATATAAACAGGATCAAAATCAAGATTTCAGAAAATCATTAGTACTTCCATGTTTGTGCACAGGCGTGAGATAGAAACAAGCTACAAGTATAACAATATATGTGGGGACTAAAAAGAATGTGTATTATAAAATGACTATAGACACACAGTGGGATTCTAGTCAGCACTGAACATTAAAGAAGGAAATATTCATTTGTGATGACACGGATGAACCTTGGGGACATTATGGAAAATCAGGGGAGAGAGAGAGACAGACAGACAGACAGACAGTCAGTCAGACAGTCAGACAGTCAGACAGACAGACAGGAAGTACCCCTAGATAGATAAATGAAAACAGCAATGCTACAGGGCTGGATACTCAGCAGTTAAGAGCACCTGTTGGTTTTCCAGAGGACCCAAGTTCCGTTTCCAGCATGCATGTGGTGGCTCAGAACCCTTCGTGACTCCAGTTCCAGGGGATCTAATACCCTCTTCTAGCCTCCATGGACACCAGGCATTCATGTGGTACACACACATACTTGCAGGCGAATACTCATACACATAAAATTAAAGTAAGCAAATAGGAAGGACATATTAAATAATAAAAAAAAATGGGTATAGTCATTTAAAGACCCCCATAGACTAATATATGTGAATGCTTGGTCCCCAGTTTGTGGAACAGTTTGGGAAGAATTAGGAGGTGTGACCTCGTTGGAGGAGGTTGTGTCACTGGGAGTGGGCTTGGAGGTTTGAAAAGCCCATACAATTTCCAAGTAGCTCTCTGTTTCATGGCTGTGGATCAAGATGTGAGCACTCAGATTCCTGTCATCTAACATCACAGACTCTGACCCCCTGAAGCTGTAAGCCAAATTAAATCCTTTTATAAGTCACCTTGTCATGATGCTTTCTCACAGCAAAAGACAGTATGTAAGACATAAAAAATAACAATAGATACATCCTAAAGAACATGTACCTACTGTTTAAGAAACAAAATCCTCCTAGTCAAGCTTGGTGGTACATACTTGATATTCCAGGACTTGAGAGGCTACAGAAAGAATACAAGAAGTTCAAGGTCAACCCAGTTCACACAGTATTTCAAGCCCAGGCTGGACTACATGAGACTCTATCAGAAAGAAAAAGAGAGCCCAGCATGGTGTCCTATACATTTAATCTCAGCATTTGTGTGGTGGAGGCAGTGGATATCTGTGAGTTCAAAGCTAACTTGTTCTACATAGTGATTTCCAGCCCATTCAGAAACTGTTTCAAAAACATAATAGAAACAAAGAAAGAGAGAAGGAAGAGAGGGAAGAAAGAGAGAAACATGGATGAGCAGGGGGAAAAGAAAAGAGTAGGAAGAAAGGAGGAAGGAAAGAAGAGAGGCAAGCAGGCTTGCTTTAGGGACAGACATGTGACACAAGTCATAATCCCAACCCTGGGAGGCTGACACAAGAAGAGTGTAAGTATATAATGAGTGTATCCTGAGACCCTGTCTCAAAAATGAACATATAAATAAATAAATTCACTTTTTAATTAACCTCCAACATTCTACAGTATGAAAAATCAAGCATGTGCCACTAAGTAGCACTAAATTAAAACACTGCATATAAAGAAACTGAATAGAGTTGGGGGCCCCAGCTCAGAGGCATAAAGACCCAAGTTCAATCCCAACACCAAAATCTAAAATAAAATGAAACAAAATAGTTGTGTTAATGTCACTCACTATTTTTCTGGACACTATTTTACTGAAACAATAGTTGTATTTTCTAATGTTTAGTTATATAATCAATAATCAAGCATTTAAAAACATATGAAGCAGCAAAGCTGTGGTAAAAGTACAGTTTAAAGAAGTCAACACATCATTTTTGAGTCCGAGACAGCCAGGATGAACAAAGGAATGCCATCAATCAAGGTAGGATCCATCCAACAAGGTACCTGTTGGAAGACGTCATTCTGTAAATGTGTGTCTGATTGGTTTGAACAATGCACTGTTGGTCAATAGGGAAACAAGATAGGTGGGACTATGAGTCTAGGAGAACTCTGTGAAATGTAGTGAGGATAGCTCTTGCCATGTGATTTCCTGAGAGCAATGGGCACTCAGGAGTGCATCCTCAAAAAGATAAGTTCTTATAAAATATATATCAGTAATTATGGGTTAATAATCAAATCAGAGCTAGCCAATAAGAAACCAAGCAAACAGCCAACAGCTTCATAATTAATATAGTGTCTTGTGTGTTATTTGGGGGCTGAAAGCAGCAACAAAAACCAGGTGGCAGCAGGAAGACTAAATGTTACAGGGACCTACATCAAAGAGTCAATAGCTGCCCAGCCCAGAGGCCTCACAGCCAGCAATATAGTCAAATGGTAGAGGACTTGCCCAGCATGCCCAATTCATCCTGTATTCAATTTTAGCACGGGGGGAAAAATTCACAGCACCTACAGGCACCAGAGATGAACTTAGTATTATTATTTTTTAATGGAGATAGCATCATAAATCTTCAAAGTTTGCCTTTCTACCTGCAAATTAGTATAGCGCTCAGATGTCATCAGAGAAGTTTCTGTATGCAGTGCACAGAGGTTAGCCAAGAAACACACAACTGTTCAAAATACAGAGTATACATGACTGTGGTGTGCTCAATCATAAATGGAACATCCATACCACACTCAATCCCAAGATTCAGGGAACATTGCTAAAGATAACGTAGAAAGACTGTAAAAACTAGGACAGAAAGAAACAGTGTCTCCTAGACACGGCAGGACCACTGCACTCAAAAGATCTCTGTATGCATCACCTAGGTTGGCCTCAATGTGCTGTGTGTCCCAGAGTGACTTTGAGTTAATGTGTGTCTGATCTCCCCTGTGCTAGCTACACAAATGTGCTATTTTTTTTTGCTTTTGTTTTTTGTTTTCCTTAGGTAAGCCTGAAATTCATTTCCATGTACTCCTTTTTAAAATTACATGTTTATTTTTAATTGTACATTTTAATTGTACATGTTGTGGGGTACTGTGTGACATTTCAATAAATGTGTAGACTATGTAATTATCAGATAACAATGACTTACATACCCAATAGATACCTCAGACATACATTATTTATTTGTGTTGGGAACATTCAAAGTCCTAACAGTAATTAATCATTGTCAGTGATAGTTTAAATGTAATTGCCCCCAAAGTCTCATAGGGAGTGATATTATTAGGAGGTGTGGCTTTGTTGGAGTAGGTGTGATCTTGTTGAAGGAAATATGTCACTGTGGGAGTAGGTTTTGAGGTATCCTTTGCTCAAGCTTCACTCAGTGTGACAGTAAGACCACTTCCTGTTGCCTATGGGTCAAGATGTAGGACTCTCAGAGACACAGACAGAGACTTCACAGAGTGGACCAAGAGGTAAGTGACCAGCCTTCCAACTTGACAGCCCAGTCTCTAGGTCCTAGGCCCCAGAGCAAAACCCCAGGCCCCTCCCCCACCAATCTTAGGTGCACTAGCTGGTCAACAGGCAAGCCTCCTGCAGACAGGTTGCTACACAACCCCCTTCAGGCCCTGTAATCTACAAGTCCCACTCCATTCCCAAACCCACCCATCCCCATGACCCCAATGGCTCTCTGAGACACAGACAGCAAATGCACAGAGTGGACCAAGAGAGGCTCCCTGAGACTCTCTACCCCACCCCTCCCTCTCTACCTCTGCCCATGCTTCCTTGAGTTGGGATTCATATGGAGACTGTGGTCTTTAGCCTTTTTGGCTCAGCCAAAATCCCAGCACAGGGTGACCACATGTCTCTTGGACTCTGGGAGCTCTGTTACCTGATTTGTGTTCAACGGACCACAAAATCAGCCTGTGCCTTTTGCCTCTGATCCTCCCTAAGTCTCTGAGATGCTGGAGATTATAGGCTTTGGATCTTCTCAACCTAGGCAAAGGCAGGCGGATCTCTGTGAGTTCGAGGCCAGCCTGGTCTACAGAGCGAGTTCCAGGACAGCCTCCAAAGCCACAGAGAAACCTTGTCTTGAAAAGGCAAAAAAAAAATATGTATGAATCCAAAACTATTTTAAGGTATAACAAACTTACTTAAGGTGTACAAATGCAACTTATCAGATTTCTTTCTTATGATGCTTCTGTTCATAGTCTTAACATGAACTTTAATCAATAAAGTTATGATAAGCTACTAATCCAATTCCAACAGAATACTAAACACCATATTATGCTACTAGGCAATCATAACTGTAACTACAAGCTCAAGATTAAGGTGCTTTTCATTTTTCTAAAGATAGATATCTGTCAATTTCAAAAGTGTTAATGCTTTCACACAAATCATTTCTGGCATGCGTATACTGGCAATGTGTCTAAAATTAATATTTTCACAAACTCAAAGGATTCTTGTAAGTTCCAGAGAGCTTAATTGGACCCATCCAAATAGGTCAGATTAACCTCAGATATTATTTAACATTTCCCTGGTCCCATGACTCCCTTCCCTCACCTTGGGACCAGTTGGGAACCCCTCCCTCCTTTTATGATCCTCTTCCCCTCAAGTACCAGGACATAAGAAAAAAATGTTTTCCTAAACAACTCTGCTCTGCCAACAACTTGCCAGGTCTAAGAGGCTCCAAAGAGTTCCACACAGCCTGGACTGTGATGAAACAACCAGCTACCCCAGAACGTGGCAGCACTCTAGCTTTCTCAGGTCCCCTAAAGATAGCCAACGCCCCCCCAGATCAGCAGGAAGTAGTTGTGAGAACTCAATGTCCTTACTCCCTAACCTGCTATGCCTAACTCCTCACTTTTTAAAATAATATGTAAAGGTGTGAATGTAAGAATTCAGGCATTATGCTGGCCTGCCCCTGTCACCTGGTAGAATACACTCAGGCAGAACCCTGGTCAGCCCAGGGTTCTATGAGTACTAGTCTGCATGCAGATGAAAAGGACCCCTTTAAAAGACCCTGCCCACTAACGCTCTCTTGCTCTCTTTCTGCTCTTTCCCACTCTCGTCTCTGCTCCTGTTTCCATCTTCTCTTCTGTC